AGGACCCAGCTACTCAAGACCCAGCTACTCAGGACCCAGCTCTTCAAGACCCAGCTACTCAAGAACCAGTTACTGAGGACCAAGCTACTGAGGACCAAGCTACTGAGGACGCAGCTACCGAGGACCAAGCTACTGAGGACGCAGCTACTGAGGACCTAGCTACTGAGGACGCAGCTACTGAGGAAGCAGCTACTGAGGACGCAGCTACTGAGGACGCAGCTACTGAGGAAGCAGCTACTGAGGACGCAGCTACTCAGGACCCAGCTACTCAGGACCCAGCTACTCGGGACCCGGCTACTCAAGACCCAATTGCTTAAAGATCCAGCTGGAGCCTGAAGAATTAATGAATCGGTGTGAAGGATGCAAATGTATATATGTATGCGTTTGTCCTATGATTAAGAATGCATGTGTTTTTTATGGTTAGAGCGCGGATGCGAATCGGATTGGATCGGAAAAGGAGTTCACCTGCTCGCTTGGCTTTTGAAAGCACCACCTCGCTTGGCCTCACCCTACCTACCTACTATTATCTTTGACCTTTGGCACAGGGCATGTTAATTGTTAAAGATAAATGAATAAATGAAAAAAGATCAATGATTTACTTTGAAGCCCATATCTGAAATATCTCAGGGGAACGAACACCTTCCATCTAAACCCGTACATACCTACATAGCTCTACTCACTTCGCTCGCCAAGCATCATCCAGTGCTAATCCGTCTTGTGCTGACAAGGCAAAGCTGTCGGCCCACTCTACCTACCTCCGGAGCTTCTCACCACACGTCACAACTGCCTCCAGGTATGGATCATCTTTTCCCCCATCTCATCGCTGGGGCTTACACCAATCCCCCGCGGAAACTCAGTAAGGTAAAATAAATGCGACGACAACTCTCCTTCTCGAAGCCACTCTAGCCAGGCCCCAGGTTCCAACTTCGCATCGGTAGCCAACCTCCAACCGAGTTTTGAGACGAGCCGAGGCTTCCCTTCGATCGAGTATTTTTTATCATCTTTGGGAGCCTGAACAACCTACATCTCTCGTTGGGAAATCGCGAGGTTTTTTGGGGTAAACCAACCTCGTTTTAATCTTCAGATGAAGTCTTTCTTTCTTTCTTTCTTTCTCTTTCTTGCATCGATTGACGATGGTACGGAGTGCATAAGGAAAGATTAAAGGAGAGTTTTTCAAAAAGTCGAGATGAAAAAAAGCTCGCAGCTCGAAGCTGATAATTTACGATATCCGATACACGGTACTCGCGCGTGAGCTTTTGCTACTCTTATCTAGAATAGTTAATATTTAAAATAAAAAAAACCCTTCGATGTTGGACTTGGATACTGTTGCTATTTTTTCTTTTCTTCTTCTTTTTTTTTTTTTTTTTTTCCTATTTACAATCACATTGTAAAATTCAAAATCGAAGCATAGGTATAGTCGAGTTATGGAAATCACGTGACATGGGACGGGGCACTGTCAAAGTTCTCAGTATATGAATGGATACTCGGTTTTCAAACTGTCTTGAAAAAGGAGAGGGGGTATTTGAAAACTGGAGAAATTTCTTTTAGTGAGGAGGTAAATTTTTTTTTTTTGGATTTGCAGAATGAGATTCTGGAAGTGAAGGTTAGCTCATCAATTGTTGACTCTAGTCGAGCTCATCCATAGTTCGCGTAAATCTCCACCCTAATTAAGAACACCCCCTTATGTTTACTACAAGCACACGAACGAGTACTTTTTCATATAGCACTCGTATTATTAATTAAATTATTACTCTGACGGATTCTATTGATTAGACTGATAGTTGTCATAAACGAATATGCATTGCATATAGGGGTGTCGAAGATAATAAGAGATTAATGTTTAGATTTGGAAATTCACGCGAACTATGGATGGGCTCTAGTGTGTATACAATGGATGAGGTTGTTCTTCCTTATTCTGAAATAAGGGGCGACCAAACGGGGTTTTGGACCAAGAGTTGGGGTCTGAAAACTCGGTTCAGAGAGCCTGGGACGGACTAGAGTGGCTCTTGGGCATTTTGATAAAGCTCATGTGATGATCCAGCGATAGATGTCAGACCGGATTGGATCAGCTGAGATGAGTGTTAAATTGAGCCTTTACTCTTGAAAAAAAGAAAGAAAGAAAAAAGACGAGGGTTTGGAAATTGGTATAAGATTGAATTGTTCTATCTTGATAATTGAAGAAATATGCTGTGAATTGTTATCGATCAGAAAGGGGGAGAGAGGTCAATTATTCTATTATTCTATTCCATTGCAATGTTTAGCTTAACGGCTATTTTTTGACTCCATTCAAAGCGCAACACCCCCCTTCTTTTCATAAACTCATCTATCACCAATTCGAGACTTCCCAAAATCACGGCTACCTATTACTTAACAACTTACCAAGTCCAAATCCCGCACATAATCATATCATATCATAGGCAAGGAAGTTCATATTGAAAAACATCGCATTTCATATTTCCGCTAAAAAGGAACAACTTGCTTCGCTGTAATACTCTACTCAAAGTCCCTATCGTATCCTATACTCTGTCTGTTTCTGAGATGCCGTATATTCACACGTCGTGAAATCCTAACCTATCCCTCAAGTCTCCTCCCCCCCGTTGATCAATACGTCGGGGGTGCATCTGGATCCCTCTTCTCGTCCCGCTTCTCGCTCTTGGGCGGCGGTGGCGGAGAGCCTTCGGGCATTGGGATAGCCGGCGGTCCTGTCGCATCGTCCTTCGACCCCGGCCTGCTGACGTTCAGCGGCGCCGGGAAGGGACTGCTGCCGCCTGGCACAGGCGTGGGCGGGTCGTACAGCGTTCTGTCGAGGTGGGGCTGGTCAATGTGGTCGTAAGAGGCGGACGAGGGCGCGATGCTGCCAGGCCGAGGCGGGTATGCCGGCCTTTGCTCGTGCGCGTCGGAGGCATCGGTGGCGTGGCCTGTTTTCTCGGGCGGGTAGTGGCCCTGCGACGGAGCTGATGAGGTGACGGACATCGCGTCGTCGTAGTGCGGTGGCGCCGTGGAGTATCTGTTCTGCTGCTGCCCCCTGGGCTCTTCCAAGTCCATGTCGCTGGGAGCGGGATCGTCGTTGACCTGGTCGATCATCCTTTGGTCGACATCGGTGCGCCCTTCGGCCTGCTTGACGATCTCCATCAGCAGGCGCGTCTGGCTGGGGATGTTCTGGATGCGCCCGGCGATGACGTCGGCGATGGGGAGGCGTTCCCCGTAGAAGCGGGCGTTCTCGTCGTTGCGCTCGACGATGACCGTGCCGTCGATCTGCAGGCCACCGTACAGCCCGCGGCTCTTGACGTAGCTGAACATCGGCTTGCGGCTCTTCAACAGCTCGGATTCCAAGACGCCACCGGCGCCGAACGGCCCGGCGACGACGGAGAGCTCGCCGCCGAGAGACACGCGCATGGTTTTGAAGGCCTCGAGCGCCTGGCGGTTGTTGATCACGATCACGCAGTCGTAGATGTCGATCCCGGCCATGAACCCGACGCCCAGCGTGTGCACCAGGATCCCTGACGGCGGCCCCCAGTTCCCGTCTTCCTTCTTTGCGATGAGGACCCCGGAGCCGCCGGCGCCGCTGATCCAGAAACCCGCACGCACGACCGAGAAGATGGCCAGCCCCACGCAGCTCTGGATCACCTTGGGAGGGATCTTCATGAGAACCTTGGGCTTGTTGTTCGGGCCGGGCGAGACGGGTTTCCCCGATGGGCTCGTCTCCGTCCTGACCAGCTCTTGGGTGTAGGCGCCATCCTCTGCTCTCTTCGTTAGCGTGAGTCACTAGATATATATATTTTTTGAAGAGGGATGGATAGGACGGGAGACGTTACTGCAAAATGATTTCAGAACTCTCGCTGCTTTATCTGATTCTTGTCCCAGGTCTGACGGCCAGAAAGCCTCGGAGCCGATCTTGTTGGTGAGCCTATTGACGGGGGCTCCCATCCGCTCGAAGGCAGCCCAGCCCTTATCGAAAGCGGACTTGCTGCGCTTCCCGAAGGACTTTTTGGGCGCGGCGCTGCTCTGTCCTTCCGCGGGTGTGTTAGACATGGTGAGGGACTGGATATGATATCGAAGATGGAGGTTGGTAGGAGAGAGGCAGTAATTCGAGAACGAGGGTGCGGGAGCTGGAGTATATATATCTATACGTATACTATGCGTATACTATACGTATACCGGTACTATACGTATATCTAAACTTAAAACGCAGGACGTGAAGTCGAAGTTGACTTCCCGCTCGCCTTCGTATCCGTATAGATTTCTCGGTTTCTCGGTTCCTCCTGTGGCTCGGCTCACTGACGAGGCGTTTGGCAGGGGTCTGGGTGGTGGATGACACATCCTCGTGCGGCCAGGATCCCGAAAATCCTTCCAAATATAGAGTCGGATCCAACGCCTAGACAACTGTTTACTTCCTTCGAGCCTTACTCTTTCGCCGTTCCCCAGATTTGAATAGGTCAAGATCAGCCGACGTATAGAGACAGACAAGGCCCCACGAATACCCAGGCTGGGTGAGTCAAGCAACATGACTCCTTGCCAGCCAATACACCCCAGCCACATTCCCATCGCATTCATGCTCTTCTTATTTTCTTATTTTCTTTTAACCGAGCCAACTGCGCCACGACCACGACGTGGGGCGAAGCGAGCTAAGCCCCCTCCCACTTCTGCTACCGGATTGCCGTTAAAGCGGGCTGGTTGGAGTTTCAAGGAAAGATGAGTAATCTCTCTATCGATTCATTTATGTGTAAGATAAGGGATTTCGAGGAGCTCACAAGAAAGAAAGAAAATGCGCGGTAATGAACTCGAAATTATTAAAAGCAAGAAAATAATCGAAAGAAGAGTTAAGAAAGCTTGTCAATCTATCTATTTCTCAGACGGGTGGTCTCTCATAGTACCTTACTTCTAGTTAGTTAGATGGTAAGTAGGTGTCGTTAGAGAGACGCTGGGCTAGCTAGCTAAGCGCTGGCGATCAAGGTTGTCTTAAGTTCAACCGCATGTGAGAAACCTATGATAACAACCACTCGTAGTACTTACCTCCAACCACTTACCTTATGGAGCTATGAGTGGGGACAACCTTAAAGGCCGGATAGGGACCAGGTTGGATCTGCTGTGCAGTGCAGTGCAGTGCTGTAAGCTAGCATCTCAAGCCGCGCATAGCTTATCCCAATTAAACATTTGCATTTTAGCATTTCTTCGTCTTGATTAATTAACTTCCGCCTTTATAAGGCTCGGCCAGATTTCCATCGTTCACCGGTCGGTCTCCTATATATACATCCATCTACCCCACAAGCAGCGATAGATATTCGAAGCCTGGTTTTCTCTTTGATGCATAGGTGGTGTGGGGGTAACGGAGCACTTGCTATCCACGAGGGCTTTTACCCGCTTTTGTTGGACTGGAAGGTCTGAATGATGTGTGGCTGGGGAGGAGTCTGTATTTTCTTGTATGATTGTATCGTTCCCGTATGAGGGTTTTGAGCATGAGGATATGAATATTTTCTTAGCGCCGGGTTTGATTTGTCTAGTGCCTTTGGTTCTCTTCAGATCCCGAGGGCATAATACAAAAAGAATGAAACCTGGTTATCAAGATTCCAGACTTCTCGAAAGAACAAGCTCGCAAGATAACAGTAATTTGACCTTTCAACCGTATCTTGGGTTGGTTGTCCGGGGTGTCGTTCTGATTGCAAATAGATGAAAAAGGAGGGAGGAGGCAGCTGCTCTTTTAGAAGTGGAAGATTACCAATTATCCTACCGGACCGTCATTTATTTACTTATCCGCTACTATCCACTTATTATAATTTGAATGGAATACCTTTGAAGCTATAAAAGATGACATTTGAGTATCGTCGCCTCCAAAAATCCTCTCCGAATTCTAGATATCGCGCTTCTGTTTCCCCGGCTGAACTATTCCTGCCATCGCTAATTTTCTTACGTGCTATTTCAAGACGAAGGTTGTACAGAGACGGGATTCTGCGTGTATGGAGAAGGGCAGAGAATAATATCACTATTATGGCGAATGAATGCGAAAGTAGCCAGATCAGATCACATCAGCTACTTAGTTAGTTAAAAACACGTCATACATACCATCTAAGAAATCAGGGTTTTTTTTAAACGGCAACTTTATTAGAATGGATATATATTGCTTGATTGCTTTATACAAAGCCTCGGTTTGAGGTTACGTTGATACGGCATCTCAATCAAGACCATGGCTTCATAGCTTTGAACTCATTAATGAAAGAAGAGGCCGGTCAATATGCTGCTCTAAAGACACAGCAAGCATATTAATGATCTAGCTAATATCCATAAAAACAGTTTGCAGAATGTTTGCATATGGCTGGCTAGCTGTAAGTATGTAGACTCTGACCACTGAGGTCGGGGTCTGGTGGCTTCAGCTAAGTAAGCTTCAAGCCCTTTTCTGCTATTCATATATGATAATTTTGATATGGTGAGTGGATGATTTCATACCGATTTTATAAGGGCAAGATTGGGTGTTCCGCCTTGTTGTGGCCTGAGGCCACAAAAGCTACTAAGGCGCACAGATCATTAGTGGGTAGGTATATCCGCTCACGTAGCAAAGCTTTGCAGACATTAATCCATCAACCTTGCAAACCTATTCTTCTTCTATGATCTCGCCTTGGTGGTTCTGGACTGGCGGATTTTTCACAAATTAAATTCAAGGTGACCGACGATTATGCTTGACGGCCGCTTCAGTTAGCATGGGGAGAGAAATATTTTTTAATTTGATATGAGTAGCAGGAAATATTTACAAGAAAGCACGCTCGTCACCAGGACGACGGCATCTACCAGTAGGTTGTAGCTCCAATCTCCGCTCCACTAACCGGCAACAAGAAGTCGCTCGCGACAATCTTCCCATCCGCCGCCCGCGGGCCCATGACCAGGCTAGAATCCACGCTCTTGAACGAGGCGTTGGTGCTCCACTCCGCGGCGGGCATGTCCCAGCTGTTACCGATGCTCACCTGGCCGGGCGAGAACTCGATCTGGCTCATGCCATTCTGGTTCAGGGCGGCGATGTTGTCGCTCAGCGTCGAGTTGGTGCTCAGGAAGCGGAAGCCCTGCTCGCCGTTGTTGAAGGCCGTGTTGCGCGTCATCAGGAAGGCGCCCGGCTGCTTGTTGTCGATGAAGCCACGCGCGGCGTTCGCGAAGGCGATGCTGTTGCGCACGATGTGGTTGGCGGGCGCGCGCTCGGCCTCGTCGCCGCCGCCGAGCTTGAAGCCGTTGCCGTCGCCGTTGAAAGGGGTGAAGTTCCATCTGTGGGGGAGGCCGAGCGTTAGTTCAATGGTTCATTCGGGCTGCGTGGTGAGGAAGGGAGGGAGACGTACCGGTTGACTCCGTTGCCCCAGGCAATCGTGTCCTCGATCGTTACGGCGGATCGGAACTCCCACAGATCAAGTCCGTCGTCCACGTTGTCCCACAATCTGGCTCCTTTGAGCAGATTGCCCTCGCCAGAACCTTCCTTACACGCGAATCCGTCTGCCGATTCCCCGTTCTTACGTGGGTCATGATTCCGGTACGAGTCCAGATACAGCACAGTGTTGTTGGAAGATAGACCTTGAATCTGGACACCACTTTCGTAGTTGTCGTGGGTAATGAGGCGCTCGTAGAGGATGTTGGAGCTGTTAATATGGTACACTCCGTACGGGCCGTGGATCAACCTGGTATCGAATCAACATCTACTCTGACGATGCCTCCCCGGATATGATACATACTCTAAGCCGTAGAAGACCCAGTACTCGGATCTCTCGACGTGCAACGTACCACGCCTGGTATCCGGAATCTGCGAACCCAGTTCACCAGGTGTATGCGGCAGAGCCTCTCCGTCGATGACCACCTTCTCGCCGTTGTAGCTTGACAACGTGATCGGAGCGGATGCGTTTCCGCTCTTCGCCTTCACCTGGATGTTGGTAGTTGGCGAGTAGGTACCTTCTCGCAAGTAAATCGTGTCGCCGGGGGCGGCTCGGTCGATCGCAAGCTGAATGGACTTGTAGGGAGCTTCCAAAGTGCCAGCTGCCTCGTCTATACCTGTGGGACAGACAAAGTGAATAGCAGCGGATGCGATGTTGGCGGAAAGCAGCAAAGAGAGAGCATTAGATAACATCTTGGGCAGATAGCGAGTGACAAGTTTGACCAGAATCATGTCTACAGGAAGCGGCTGGCACTTATATATGCATCTTTGAGCAGATGTGCGGAGGGGTACTCTACGTCACGAATCTATACCCAGTTCCAGGTTAGGAGCATAGCAACTCAAAAGATATCCACTTCTACTTGTTTCCACAAAACATCAGAATCTGGGGATTCTTGGTCTCTTGGCGCATCGCCCCCCTGAGTCAACCCCTGAGTAATGTCCAGCGGCGTTCACGTCTAGTAGCTGTATTGAATTTAACCTCTTAAATCGGAATTCTGCACTAGCCAAAGTCCTTGAGTTTTGACATCTCGAGGACGCTTTGAGATATACCGAGGACGCTAAAGCTAATGCATAGAAATGTAAAGGGGGTAGGGCAAGGCTATACTGGCGACTAGCGCCCTTAGTTACTACGTATTTGTCAGTAAATCTTACTTGCATTGCAGCCTAGTGTAGCCTAGTTGCCTAACCCTATTATCGCCGCTATTAGTAAAGCTATTCACACCTTAATACTACGTCGCAGGCGTAAGTATTACCCCTCGAGGATAGGGAAAACAGGGGGTTTAAAGTGGAAACTAAACTTTTAAGGCACCCTCGAGGGGTAATACTTAGGCCTCTACCGTGGTATTTTCGCTTTTCGCAAACTTTAACGTAGCTACCCTTTTCAACGAGCGCTTTTAAGCACGCGATAACGCTCCTCGCCGATAATAGTTTACAACTCTTTTTTTTATTTGATATCCTTTTCGAAAAGTCGCAATAGCGTGATCTTGATAAACACAGCTTTGATGCTAAGGGGATTTTAAAAACAATATTCGCTTCACGATTGGAATTTCCGCAAGTTAATCTTAAACTAAAATATAAGACGAGCTTGACGAGCTTGAGTACCTTGATCTTTGCAATAATCACGAGGACGGCGCTGATCTTAATCAGATCCTATGATACGGTTACTTTGTTGAATCGCTATTGACTAAGAAAGATGCTCTTAAAGAACTCGATACGCAAGCAATAAATAATAAAGATAAAAAAAAAACGCAAGAAAAAGAGCTCAAAGTATCGGACTTAAAGAAAAAACGATTTATAGACTTAAAAATAAGAGCAATCGAAGCAGAAAAGCGATTGTACTAATATGGCTTTCATTTTTTATTTCTAGTAAATTGTTCAATTCCACGCTTTTCGGTATTATGCTTTTATTATGATCTTGCTACGTAAGATAGCTCTGCAAAG